CCCCACCTCCACCTTCTCATAACAACCAACTCCTTCCCTCCCCCCCCCCCCCCCCCCCCCCCCCCCCACTAATATCTAACTAATACTAACATCTACCAGTTCAGCGCAAAGCTGCTTCCTGTCTCTAGATCTTCTGCTCGCCTCGATATAGTTGGTTTGCATCTCCAGTGACTCCATCTCCTCTGCTTTCTGCAAGTTCGAGTATTCCTGAACCCGGCGTTGAAGACGATGGCGAACCGGTGAAATCGAACTTTTGCACGACCAGACGAGTCACTGCAGCCAGTTTTGACATCGCTGTCCAGACAGATGGAAGGAGAGCTCTCTGTCCAGATACAGGATATGGTTTGTAAAAACTGAAATTATTAGTTGAATTTTATGAGATTGTTTCTTTTATCGATTGTTTTGATATTTCTTTTTGTTAAATTCAAAGCCAGAATATCTCCAGAACTTTTCCATGGAAATGTTACTTGTTCAGAGTAACTTGTTTAGTACCAGATTGTGAATTCACTAGATTTCCTTTAAATGTTTAGTCTGGACAGAGCTGATGTTTCTCTTCAGGTGGCCCAGGATTCTCCATTTACTTCTTCTTGTTTTTACTGTAAACAAACGAGCCAATTTGACTAAGATTCATTTAATCGTGTGTTCCTGTGAGACATTACATATACATATCTTCTGTCGGTTGCATAAAGGACTGCTGCTAAAAGGCTTATTGTGATCTCAGAGAGCCTAAATTAGATCCTCTTCTGCTTGTAAACGTACCAGAATCTGTCAACAACAACAACAAGCATTTTGTAGAGATTGATGTCATTTTATAAAGTTTCAGGAGTCTGGACAGTGTTGATAACTAAAATGGAGAGATGAGAGGGATCACGATGATGTCTGATGCAGCGGATCTTTAACAGCTGTGAGCTTTTTTTGTACCGTTGAGTTTTGGTTTACTGAAAGATTTTGAAGTACTTTTCTTCTGAGTTCTGGGCTTTGTAACCTGTAGAAGAGATCGATAAATGCTTTCTGAGCTCTGTAATAATTACTGTCAATAGCAGAGATTTTCAACAGTGATGTCAAATTAGAATGTGATGTCAATATTGTGGTTTTTTTTTTAGTCCATTTGTCCTCGTACAAGACGATCGGTTGAATATTTCAGTATTGAATGTTCTTCCACCATGTTTTAGCTTTTCAAAGAGGGCTCATACATACTGTATAGTTCATGGTGTATAGAAGACAAATGGCCTTTTTTTGTTTTCACCCTCAGCCTTTGTGTGTTTGGCGTTTTGTGATTTAAGATTTATTTTCAATATGTTGTGTATAACTGAGGGGGGTAAAAAGCAGCAAAGATGTGCATAAAGTGCAGAAATGTTTTAAGAGAGTTTGTTTGATTGTTTGCCTTCAACACACACACACGGCTCTGCTCTTTTATCAGTTTCTACATCCTCAATTCCTTTCCTCGCCTCCTCTCCTCTTAGTCCAACCAACCTAAGAAGCGAGCGGAGGAGGCGAGGAAGAGACACGAGGAGGCAACATACATTTAACAAAATGAGACGTCCTTGCTTTGGAGCGGTCGTTAATTAAAAATGACGTGTAGCACAGCTGCATCATCTGTCTTTTACGATCTCTGTCAGATGCGCATGACAACATATATATTCAATTTTAAATCCAATCACAACGTGGCATAATGTGACAAGCCTCTGATATACGTCTCGGGACGAGGATACACCTGTGCATCCTCGCTCATAGCCGCTCGGTTAAGCCTCCTCTCTCCTCAAAATGCGTTTCAGGAATTGTGACATCCTTCCACGTGACGCATTGAGATTTCTGAGTCTCAGGCAGGACGACGGAGGCACAAATGAGAAGAGTGCGTAGTATCAGGTTGACCCTGACTCGCTGCTTCATGAGTGCAAAGGTTAATAATTTCCTGCAACAGAAGCTCGATAGGGTCCAAACAGATGTCTGAGAGGACTACTCTTTATTTCTGAGTGGTCTTGCATGCTTTTAGGATGAAGAAAGTCCTCTTCTAATACATGTTTTGTGTGAAGGGTTTGCTTTGTACAGAACAAAACGCTGTACGGTGGTTCAACACGACTGATATAAAAGGGCAGAAAGAGACAAAGATCCCTCAGCAACAGTGGAATAATAGAAGAAATCACCAGTCATTGGTAAAAGAAACTGGAAGCTTCGCATCAAAATGTGTGCAGATTTAACGAGGAACAGGTTTTTGTTTCAGTGTCGAGTGCAAAATAATGTCTATAACAAGCTGGAATAAACAGGCAATGTGTTTTAAACTTCACAATGGATGTTAGTTTAAGGTTAGCACTACTGGAATACCAGCTGAACACACTGTGGACAGACAAATCACAGTTTAAACCTCTTCAATCTAACCACTGAGTAGACCGAGCACAATGGCCCCGTTGTGGTTTAACAATGATCGAGAGTCACAGACGCTTTCCTGGACTGGAAAACAAATTCGAAATCCAAGTTCCAACAGTATTCTCTTTAGTCATGCAACACCGAGGGTAGAAGCGTCTCGAGATTCTTTGCTCATAAAGACAATATCATAGAAGAAGAAACAGACGTATTAACCAACCACAGAGCAAAGTGAGATCACACACTGAAGAGACCAGAAAACCACGCTTGAGCTTCACCACACGGTGGTGCACTTACTCTTTGCTGGTGCTGGATCAGCTCGTGACAAAAGCTTGTTCAGGGTTCAGACTCAAGTGACATTTTCCTCAAATGAGCCGTCAACAGTGAGCTCAGCACGCAGACAAAACAATGTAATATTATTATTGATAACGGTGCTACTAATATCAAACGACATGGGGAGACTCTGACCTCTTCTTCTGATTTTCTGCTGATGCATTGATATTGTTTTTTTCTGTTGAGAGCTGGGTCCCATTAAAAGGCTGCCTTGTCCCAAGTGAGCAGCGTAGCAGTAGTAGAAGTACTCGGAGTAGTATATCTCTGGATCATATATAAGCGTAGCATGTTTATTTATGTCAACATTTACTAAAAGTCAAATAAATGTAATGCAGTCAAAGTACAAAAGCTAGCATGAAATGGAAATACTCAAGTTCAAGTATATCAAAATTGTACTGAAGTACAGTACTTAGTAAATGTTTTAGTTACTTTGCAACATTGCAGTCTGGTATTACTACTGTCACTTAAAAGGTGCTTTATACGAGATTGGATTGATTTTAATTGACTCTCAACGGTTCTCAACATGGTGAGCGCTGAGCCGGAGGTTCGCAGCTAACAGTGACAACTATGGAGCCGAGATGTTGTGTTCATGTAAGAGCTCACTGCTCACAGCCACAAGCTGATTGAGGAAAAGAGGGCGTCTAAAGCCTCCGTGTGGAGGTGGAGACTCTAGAACAAGCACTCCTTTTGAAACACACTGAGGCCTTTTAACAGCGTCTCTCTCCCTGCAGTCGAGAGTTGACAGTGTGCTAATACAAAGATGAATGCTTGTTAAGACACATGCAGACTGTTCTGAACTCAACACGGCGTCGAGTCAGTCGCCGGGAATTTTCCTGGCTGAGGTTTCACTAGCGTTGATCCCCCGACAGCCTTAAATCTTTCAGGTTAACCCCCAGAACTGATGCTTTGGGGTACATTTTCATCCCCCCCGTGTGTAATATATAGAAAGTAATTTGTCAGATATACAGATGGCTTGTTCCCTCTTTATCTTCACAGTGAAGGTCAGTGAGCCCAGTCTGACATAAATATGTGTGTACAGTTATGTTCTGTACCTGAAAGAAACGTGTGTGTAAGTCAAATGTGTTTCATGTTTGTGGATCTGTGTAAAGTTTATTCTTACGTCTGTTTAAGAAAGAAGCACAGCAGCTTCAACACTAATATATATATATATATGTATATATGTATGTATATATATATATATATATATTTGTATATATGTATGTATATATATATATATATATACATATATATATATATGTATGTATATATACATACATATATATATGTATATATGTACACATATATTTGTTTCACTCATGAGGCGAGGCCACTGAGCTTCATAAACACTGCTGTTAAGATCAAAAACCTGCTGGTGAAATTGGGGGAGAGTTTGGGTTAATTACGTTTTCAGATATTCATTTTAAAATGTACTAAATAAAAAATAGATTTTCACACATCTGTTTGCTGCAGAGGTGTAAAAATAAGTAAATAAAAAAACGTGATGTATAGAATTAATGAAGCTTGTAATTTTTTGTAGTATTTTCTTAACATCGTAAAAAGAAAAAGCTTGGTTGTCAAAAACGATGATGCACGTTGAATTTAATTGACCAAGCTTGCGTCTTTGACCATGAAGACAAACATGTCTTTGCTTCTGTTTTATTTCTCCTTTGTCACTTTCACTCCTTCAGTCATGTGGTGTTTGAACAGAGGGTTGTCTAATCGGACTCATTAGGACCGAAAAGTCTTGATCTTAGTAGATAGCAGTATGACTTTCCACCAGGAGATTAATGAGGGAATAATTTTCTTAAGAGTTCATTCAGAAACCATATGCTATTTTCCTCATCGATCTTTTTTTTTTTGTGAACTGTCAGACCGTATATGGACGTCCTGTCCAATCAGTTGAATTGACCACACGTGGACTCCAATCAAGGTGTAACAACATCTCAAAGATGATCAAGATAAATGGGAGACACCTGAGAGTGTCATAGCAAAGAGTCTAAATACTTTTAAAAAGCTAAGAATAAATGACATATGTGATATTTCAGTTTTAATACATTTCTAGAATTAAAGAAATAGTATAGATTTATGAGGGAAAGGGGGAATTCAGGAGATTTTG